TTTAAGGGAGGGCCACGAGTTTATCAGTCAATGACTGTAAAGTGTTTTTACCCTCATTAAATAAAGTTACATACTTACTTACTTACTTATGTTCGTGCTTTAACAACAGAAGGTTACAATGTACAAATAATTATATACAAAAAAACAGAACATTCCCATGTTTAAAAATTACAGCTCTAATGCACGCATAGATTAAAAAATACTTTACTTGTATGCTCAAATAGTTTCACTTACATTTACGTATGCATGCATGCATGTACATACATGTATATATATAACTCTTCAACCAATATCACACAAAACCTAATTAAGATGTATAGAGGGTAGCAAGGTGTACATGTACTGAATGTAGCCAATGTACATGTATTTTACTCACCGTATAAGAATGGTGCTTGTGCACAATAAAGTTTTAGGAACACGCCAGCCTCTTGCATGTCTGTTTCAGAAATACTGTCCTCTAAAAGGCGGTAAACTCCACCAACAAGGAAAGCTAGATGTAAAAGGCTCCCTTCCTCGGTCCTTCCAGAAAGCAGCGGAAGCGAATATTAAATTACGAATGCCCTCTTCTTATTGGCTGGAAAAATAAATTATCAAGGCTGTTATACATGTAAGTTGGAAGGTCTGTTATACCTTAGACTGCTCAAAATAAAATAAATAAAATAATTTAAACAAAGGTATTTACACGTGTAGCCGAAGACATGGTACAATAATTGTAAGCTGCAATTATTGTAGCTTTAAAAGCAAACAATGTTTTATAGTCATTTCGACACCATTTTCACATGTATATTACACCTGTAATTGACTATTTAATACGTTGACCTTTTCTGACAGTTTATTTTTTGTCTATTTTAACTTGAAAATGGTGTCACATGTAAATTCAGATGGATTTTCATAAATTGGTATCTCCTACCTGTAAGGGGATGTTCAATGAATCGTCTCCCGGACAAAAATTAATGTTTATGTAAAAAGACTGAATGAGAGCCCTATTGAAAATGCAACCTTGCCAAAAGGCATACAAGTAAGTACTACATACCCTTCCACTGTTTCCAGTCTGACAAACTTCTGGGTCGACGGGTTATCTCAGAAATTGGTTTTATTGAAAGCAAGGCAAGGTCAAGTTCTTTCAGACTTGTTCCCAGGTATTGGTTAGAAGATTTATCTTCAAACCAAACATTCAAATGGTGATCGACAGCTCCTTCACAGATGCAGTGCATGTAGTCCACAGCCGTGCCAGAAACTACATCGTGTAGTGGCAAAGAAAATGCCCAAAACAAGCCAAGAACTCCTTCCACTGGATTCTTGAAAACAAAATAAAGGTAAAATGAAAAAGGGTAAACTGCATTAACATACAGCTGTCATTCTTAAACAGTTGCATTCAATCTTGTGAGATTAAGGTGCGTCAGCCCCAGACATGTTGGCAGCCCAGAACTTGCAGAATGACAGGGGTCTGCCTAAGACAGTTGGTTGTACAGAAAATATGCTCCTTGTTGCGCCTATGCCTGATTGTTTTAATGTTGCACTATTAAACACTCAGTGGCTCAAAGCCATGATTATATGAACTAAGATAATGCTGAAAATAATCTTTTAAAATGTACAGGGTTATGCAGTACATGTAGGCGTTTCAATGAGAAATTTCACACTTGCTTTATTTGTCAAAGCCATACAGTGAAGACATGGTATTTTAAATGGTGGTGCAGTAATACAAGTTAAAGATAAATAACATACATACAGTACTTATATAAATATGTTAATTGAATGTTGTAATCAAATACAGTTTAATGCAAAACAGAACTGGCTACTTGCAATGTTGAACAGAATACTCACATAAACCTTTCCTCTTTCAGAAATTTGAGACATGCCAATAAGTAAAGAGCCTGATGCTTGACCACATTATGTGTCCTAAGTTCAGCATGTCCCGTGGTTTGTGCAAATTCTTTATTAAAGGGGTAAATGTGGCATTGTCGTCTAGCATTTTTCTTTCCTGGTCCAAGGTCCAGTTGTTCCCCAGGCTCAGTACATGTGCTGCACCCATTGTACCCATTGAACTGCCTTGTGTTTAACCAAAAAGATCTTGCTGGAGAGTCCATGGTTGTATCAAGGAGGATACCTTTAATAGTCTTTTCTTCAATTCCATCAATTTTAACACCTGTGAAACAAAAGAAAAAACCCTTGCAGCAAAACTATTTGAGCCTGACTTACAAATGTAATGCATCTATGTAGAAAGTACTGACTGCCGGCAAAATTTGCCAGTTGAGAAGGAGGTAATCGCCAGATGGATTTTGGTGTGCAATCACTTAGTAAAGGACAGCAAACGGTTGATACACCGTGAATGTATGCCACATTATGCATGTACAATCATTCAATATCTGAACCATATTGAACTGTCTAGATCAACTACATGAAAAGTTTGGAATAAATTCCTCACTACCTTGAGTAGCAGTGTTGCTATAATCAGTAATTAAAAGTATTTTAATAAAGTCTTGTTTAGAGCACTTGTTTAGCATGCTCTCTTTCAGTGTCTCTTAAATGCAAAGTTTGGTAGCCCCACATTCTTGACTTTGCGAAAGATTGGGAGCGAAAATGTTGTTCCAGTTCTCAAAAAATGGTGACCAGCTTATTAGCAATCTTACCTGGGTGACTATATTCTTAGCTACAATCTGTATATACCCAACACAATATACATGTACATTTATCACATGCATCTGGTTTACTACACGTTCAGGAATGTTCATTT